TCGCCGCTTCGGCTCTGCGGAGCTGCAGCACTCTCCGCAGCGCGGCCCTGCGCCAGCTGGCCCCGGGCCAGGGCGAGGAGCGGGCACCGGCTGCCGGGCCTCCGGGAAGCACCGGCGCGGGGCGGCCCGGGGCCTTTGTGCCCTAGCAGCCGCCGGGAGGGAGGCAGGGAGGAAGATAAAACCACCGCATCTCGCCTTCCAGAACCCCGCAGCGTCACTGCAGTGGACTGGAGCTGGAGCAGTTGTGACCAGCTGAGGATCTGCCCCCGTGGCCTTCTGGCGGGGCGACATCCTGGCTGTTTGCTGCTTTATACCGCAGTAAAACCTAGAAGCCCCATTCAAGCCCCTGGGCGCACATGCAAGGGAAAGAGAGTCCCTGTCCCAACGTGCTTTGCAATCCAAACGCACTGGGAGAGACAAGAGACCGCAGGAGCAGCACTAAGTGAGAAGTTCGTGGTCAGCATTACAAACAGCTGTCATGAAAAATGAATAAAGCAACAAAAACAGCAATACAGCAGGTCATGAATATGCCAGGATGGAAAGGACTCTGGGGTTTCCGTTTTCCAGTACTTTGCCCTGGACCTACCGCTGGAGAAACCAGCAGTTTTACGGGGCACTTTCCACAGTCCATCCTCCCTAGGCAGCGGAGAAGAGCAGTGTGCGTCTGACTAAAGCCCCCGGGGAACCTGAGACCTAGGAGGCAGGTAAATAGCGTTCAAGCAGGTCACCAAGGAAAGCAGCAAGGTCCCAGGGATAGCGGGGCTTACACTCCTGAGATAAACAGCTGACTTGCCAAAGTGGGTTTGTTCCACAAACGGGTGACGTTGCTAGATCCCCTTGAGATCCCTGGCCTGATCCCAGGAGCAGAAACCAAGCATCATCTCTGTGCAGCGAAAAGATCAAGAGAGGCCGAGCAGGCAGGATCCTGGGAGGCTGAAACCCCACGAGGCCCCACCTGGTTCTCAGAAGCCAGGTCAAGGAGTCAGCGAGAAGGGGTAGTATGGTCAGGGTGGCTGCGGTGGCAGTCAGGGAAGCGAACCTGTTTTGTACAGATTGCAGTGGGGCTACATGGCTGTAAGGAGCCTGAAGAGCAGTGCTAGTTTCAATAGGAGACAAGTATGAAAAAGCAGAATGCTGTGACTGAAAGCATGTCACAGTCTTACCACTAGCAGTTGCTAACAGCTTACTCGAACTTCTCAAAAGACCTGCTCTTTCCCCCATAACTCTATATATGCATGTGACGGGACTCCCAACCCTCCCTTCACCTGAGGGAAGAAAGAGACGTGTTGCAGGGGGCAGGCTGGCCAATGCAGCTTGCAGAAAGCGGAGCTGCAGAGCTCCAAGCAGCTACGGGGGGCTGGAGAGCTGATTTGGAGAATTGGCAACACCTAAGCCCTGTTTCCAGCCTCTGAGCAGGTAAGGGGAAGGTGGAGCAGGCCAGGTTATATAAGCTGTCTGGCCCAGATCCCTGTGAGGGTGGGTGTTTCATAGTTATTAGGGTTGGAAGGGACCTATTAGATCATTGAGTCTGACCCCCTGCCCTGGGCAGGAAAGAGCACTGGGGTCAGATGACCCCAGCCAGGTGTTTGTCCAATCTCCTTTTGAATATTTCCAAGGAAGGGGACAGCACCAGCTCCCTTGGAAGCCTATTCCATATTTTGGTGACCCTCACTGTAAAGAACGTCTTCCTGATGTCCAGCCTGAATTTGCGCTCTTTTAACTTGTATCCATTGTTTCTAGTAACCCGGACTGTTGCCCTGGTAAACATCGTATCCCCCACTTCCTGCTGATTCCCCCGATGAGTTTGTAGGTGGCCACAAGGTCACCTCTCAGCCTCCTCTTGTGGAGGCTAAAGAGGTTCAGGTCTCCCAGTCGGTCCACATAGGGTTTTTTCTGTAGGCCTTTAACCCGATGGGTGGCCCTCCTCTGAACCCTTTCACAGTGTTGTGTGCAGAGTGATCAGGCATATGTTTTGGGGTGACTTAAAGGGGAGGAAGAGGTCACAAAGGGTGTCTGAGAGAGGGTGCTGGTAAGGCACCCTACCTTCTGGGCTGCAGTCCAAAGGTCCAGGTCAGTGAGGCAGGGCTGGGGGTCCTGCCGAGAGAGGGTGGTGAAGGCTAAAGATGCATGCAGGCATCCTGAGCTAGGGACTTGGAGGTCTGACATGTTCAGCCCGGGCTGCAGCCTGGAGTCTTGAGATGAGGACTAGTACCCATGCAGGGGCTCAGATGGTTAGGGGCCTTGAAGGGTGACCTGTCTGGGGATGGAGAGAGGAGGATGCAAGTGTCTTGAAAGGGGGCCTGTCAGGGGCAGGTGAGGATGAGGGCCAGAAGGGTAGGAGTCCTGAAAAGGGAGGGGAAGAGCCCTGCTCACGTTGGGGAGCAAGGACAAGGCTGAAGTGGCTGCTGGCAGGTGCCCCAGCTTCCGCCTCACCACAATGCATGCACACACGTCTGTCTTATTAAAATGTTAAGGATGCTCTGCCATTAGGAACGTGCAGATGCTGTAAGCCACTGATTCTCAAGCCTTGAGATCCTGCCAGGGGTGCCTTGTATTTTGTGCATGTGATTAAAAATACACATAATAATATGTTATGGATCCATGTAAACGTAGGCTATAATAGTGCACACGAGCACAGAGGTTCAAAAAGCATTGCTTTGCACTGCATGCTACCAGTTCTAGCCCCATGGTGCCTCTCTCTCTCTCTCTTCAGGTGCCTGCTATTTAAAGAGGAGGGCAAATGCTGATAGAATATACTAAGTATCATAGAGCTCAGCATGGACATTGTAAGCATGCATCTTGATTCACTGACCTTTAACGTTTAAAGGTAAAATAAACAACATTTTAGAGAAGTATATAACAACCTTATTTAAACTATTTTAACCAAAA